CGTGATCTCGCGCTTCGAGATGGGGCCCTCGACGGCATCGGCCACGAAGCACTCCCTCGTGACCGGCTCCTTCGAGCCGATGTAGGTGTCGGGGCGTCGACGCACGTGCTCGATCGGATCCAGCACGGTGTACTCCATGGTTCGTGGGAATGAGCCCTGATCCCGATCGGCGACGGCAATTTGTACCGGGACTAATCGGTGCAGAGTCACTTGACGCTCTCCCGCCACGAGCGCCTTTCCGACAGAGGTGCGACCCTGTGTTCGACGCCGCAGGGCGACGAGGAGACTCTCCAATCGCGCGCCGAGAGGTGCTGACGCTTGATCCGGCGGAACGTGGGCTCGTCGATGGTCACCTTCATGTGGACGTGTTGGTGGCTCTTCCAGCGGCCCTTGTTGTATTGCACGTTGAAGGAGTCGGTCATGGCGCCTATCATGAGGTCTATCTCGCGCAAGACCGCGTGGGCTTCCTCCGGAGCCATGTCCGTGAGGTGCTCTACGTGCCGGTAGGGAGTGTATATGAAGAAATCTCGGTCTCGCAGGTCGAAATGCAGACGGCCGAAGGTTCCGTCTTCGAAGATGTAGGAGCGGATCTTGGGCGATGCGAAGGGGTCGCATGTGTAGCACGCCAGGCTGACGGAAGGCATCGCTCACTGACGCCAACATCCATTTTACGGAAGCGCTTTCGACCGAGGGAGTTTCGTGGAATGTCAGTAGGATATTGGCTCGTAGTCCAGCGTGTAACCGAGCTTGAGCAAGGCTTGGCGGCCGATGTACTCTGAATACGGGGGTGGTATCGCCTGAGCGATGGACTTACCCTTTGTCAGCCAGTCGATCTGCATCGCGTCAGCCCACTCTGCAACGGTCCCTCGTCGACGGCCTGGGTCACCATACACGGCAAACATCTGGCCGGCTGAATCGGTCGACAGATCCCCACCTCGTGTCCTCGGTCGTGGGCCAGAGGTCCTTGCGGGTCTGTCTCTCTCCAAGATCTCGACCCGCTGTCTCAAATCCCGCTCGATCTCTCTGATCGACCTGTACCTGACGCCCGACGGCGAATAGTAGTACGTATCGGTCGTACCCGCACTTTCACCAGCTTTCCGCACGACCGTCCGTGATTTCCATTCGTCTTCACCAGTCCCCATCGTGAGCTGGAGGGTGGGCACCTCCGGATCCAACGGATCGAGAGGTTCGGTCGATGTTTTGCGTCCGAGGTGCGGGGATCGATCCCCCAGCGAGCGCCCGGCGTGACTGCACCTGCGATCCTTGACTTCGAGCCCGAAATTCGATTCGAAAAGCCTGTGCCGAAACACCTTCAGCTTTGGAAACATCGTGCCGCACAGCATCGCCAACGGCCCCGATAGCTCGCGCACAGCACCCATGACGTTCTCTATCACGTACGGTTTTCCACTGGCCACCAACTTCTCTCGAGTAGACGGAATGAGGTTCTCGTGATTCCAACGGTGGCC